TATGTGTGTAGATGTAGGCAAGTGAAGTCCAAGGGGGGAAAGTGAGAAATTTTACCAGAATCCACCCAGCCACCAGCCAGAAGTTGGGCGCAAGCAATAATGTGTGGTGGAGAGGAGATTTATCTAGTCCCTTTATTTATTGTATTCACCTGTATATAGCTCACCATCTCTTGTATACTGTGTATATATATCCTATGTAGGTCTCCTCCTCCTCTATTTCCTAGAACTGCTGCTGATCTAGACTGCTGGTGATTCAATAAAAGTTATTTTTTATGTTGTGTCACCTCCTCTAGTACTTCCCTCACACTCCAACCTCTCAATTGACTGTACACACATGTAGCTCACAAAACACTCAACGCCTCCTTTGCCGGTCTCAAGCCCGGATGAAAAAGGAGGAGGGGGAGCAAACTCGCTAAAAACCTGGGCTCAGCTGATAGTACCCTGTAAGGGCTCCTAATCCAGGAATACAGGATGAGCAGCGTTTGTACTCCATGTTAGGAGGGGCTGCACATGGCATCTGTTCCACATGTCAGAGGCGGCCATTTCTTTTGGAGCTAAGTCGGCCTGCCACTGAGTAGTGCTCCCAGTCTTAATGACAGACACATTCTACTTCACCCAGTCATGATGGTTGTCAACTTTACAAGCTTGATACCCTGATATGATTGAGTGGAGATAAGAAAGAAGACAAAACACTCTATGGCTACTGAGGGAACTGTCCTAAAAGTTAAAGGTTTGTACAAGTGTGTGGGTTAATGTAGTAAATGAGGTGCTACTGTGTGTAGCTTAAATTACACCATATATTAGGGGGTCGGTGGAAGGATGGTCTAAACCGTTGGTTTTCAACTGCTACGACCCGGGTTCAATTCCCGCATTGGGTATTTTTTTCTTATTAAATAAAATGCTCCAATGGCCCCCGATTCTTGCAAAAGTTCAACCCCACCAGTGAGTGCAAGTAACCAAACGGGGCTATGGCATATTTGTAAGTGCAAATTCGAACTGCTTTTCACATTGTGTAGACATGTGGTGCACTTACAGTAAAAGCAGTCGCCTACTTCTACCCACCATGATTATCATGGTCTGTACCACGTTGTACTTGGGATAAGCAAAAAATAATACTATAGATTGGTATAAAGTGTACACAAGGACCCGACAAAACTCAAGAAAATGTTAACAAGAATTCACTATAGTCATGAGATGAGTATTGGTAAAGAATTGAACAATTAAGCTACAGTAGAACCTACCTGTAAAGGACAACACCTGCAGAGCCAAAGTGTCCTTTAGAGAGAGTTGTCTTCTTACCAGAGAGTTACTAAATAGTAAAAATGGTAATTTTGGCCATGAAAACTGTCCTTTGTAGAGAGGTGTTCTCTAGCATGAGTTTTCTCTCATGGAGGTTCTACTGTATATAAGGTTTGGAGACGAAAATAACGTGTCCATTAGTACAGTTAAACCTATCTATAGCGCCCCCTCTTGGGACTCACCAAAATAGGGTATTAAAGAGAGGGGGTGCTATAGACAGGTCACTTTTAATGTAAATCGCATCGTACTACGTATTTAAAATCGGGCGCTATAGAAAGGGAGGCGCTATTTAGACAGGTTTAACTGTATTTTCTACAGAATTTCAAGAGCCATTCTTTCGAAAAGATAAATTTATAGGATACTGTATAGATTGAAGAAAAACAAGAGAAATGAAAGAATGCTGAAAGATCAGTTATTCTTGGCTGCGTACATAGCCGCATGTCTGAGGACTGACGTAAGATTTCAATGGCTGTTGCATTGAAGAATGGAGAAGTGATTCTTGTGGAGGTTTCTTTGGCAGTTTAGAAGGTGTTGCAAGTGGGCAACAGCATGGATGGGGCATATTCTCCTGGGATTCTTGATGCATAGGGCCAGAACATGTCATGCTTGGTTTCTTGGTAGCAACGATTTGATTCCGTCCCTTGATATTCCGATCTCTAACCATTTTACCGTATTCTTTCATGACTTGGAATGTATTGCAGCTTTGGGTCTGTAACAACAGATATTTTCATTTTAATAAAATAATCCTTTTGCTTGATCTAAATCTCTCTGGACATAATACCACAGATATCTGGAGTTGAACTTCTTTCCATTTTATTAATGAGGTCTCAAGTTTTCAGGCATCTCTTCCCATCTACAGGAGAACATAAATAAACAAAAACACAAGGTAATAAGACCAAATCCAAATAAATAAATAGTGTGTGACGTTTCAGTGTTGTTACCATCTTCAGACAAAAGTACTGAATGGCAACAATGGAAGATGGTAACAACACTGTTGCCAAAATGTCACACTATTTATTTGGATTTGGTCTTATTGTGTTTATAATTTATAATCCAAATTGTGCCTTATCAATATAAATAAACAAAGATATACGAAATTAAATAGGTTCTGCAGACTTTTTATTATAAATAGACAGCTTCATGCAGCTTGAGGAACTACACTACTATGCGACTTGATTTACATCAATGTAAATAATTAATAAGTTACTTTACAATATAACTCATTGTAAATAGCTCAACTTGATCAACTTTCTCTCTCCACGATACTAATTATTACAGATAACTTCATCAACTTCCATCATTGCTTAACATACTGTAAATAACTAACTTGTGATTTCTTCTATCTGCTTATGTTGTTGCTTATTTGTTTAATGTATATGTTTATTCAATGCTCTTTTTCTAATTAAAATTTTACACAAATAAATTTACTGGCAATGCGTTTCTTTTTTAAATCTCTACAAACCTTACTGCAATGGTATGATTTAATGAATGAGAGGGCTTGGCTCATCAGTAGTGAACCCTCTCAGCGGTTTCGCCAAATTAATCTCTAGACCGCTTTACTATTGTATTGGACTGGTTTTGTTATATACCCTGCATTTTCTATGGAAGGCAGCTAAATGGTGTTTAGTGAACTATGGACATAAGCTTATAGGTCTGTAGAGGTACATACATATAATTTCAAGGTATTGCAACGAGCAAAGCTTAATTTGGCGAAACCGCTGAGAGGGTTCACTACTGATGAGCCAAGCCCTCTCATTCATTAAATCATATCATTGCAGTAAGGTCTGTAGAGATTTAAAAAAGAAACGCATTGCCAGTAAATTTATTTGTGTAAAATTTTAACGATAGAGGGCAATAAAATTTAATTTTTCTTAATTGTTTATTTTATTTTTGATAATTCTGTTACCTACTCTACTACAATTATTGTAAATAGTTTCACGTGCAATTATCCAGATCGGATATAGTGTATCTTGTTTGCAACTGGTAAATAAATAAAGGAATAAAACGCCGCTTACGAAGCTCATATCCAGAAGCCTGTGGTATTGTTTAAAATATTCCTTTGTATCAATATTAAGATGAAAAAAACAGGCTTCTCCAGGATTAGACTCATTTTGAAATAAACTCTAATCCCTAGAAAGATAGTACAAAAGTTGATAAGGCACAATTTGGATTACAGATTATAAACACAAGGTAATAAGACCAAATAAATAAATAGTGTGTGACGTTTCTGTAACAACGCTGTCCCCAGAATATTTAAAACAGACGGATAAACATGCAAGATTTGCGGGACAACAAGCCCACGTGTAGCCCACATCACCATTTACTCTCATGTATGGGGCTGAAAGACGAACGAGAAGTGCTCCTCAGTGAAATAGACCTTGAGGGAATCTCTTTGGAGCTCCTGTTGAATGAGGTGGTGAGAAACAGAGCTGGAGCTTTTGCGTTGTTCAAATTTTGGAAGACGGCTGAAGAGAAGAGGAGGCTATATACATAATCTAATTGATGTAAATATTTATATGCAAATAATCTATGTCAGGATTAGAATGACGAATCCTGTATGGGACTTTGATTCCAGTAAAAGGCTTGTTGCTGCTGTTGTATATAGTCACAGTGTAGAAAATACTATACTATACCTACTACATATATCTCTGTATTCTTAGTTCTCTTCTCTTACTCTGTAAACTGGCGAATACTTTATAGGACGAGAGGTCCTCAATAAAGGCTTTTGTTGTTGTTGTTGTAACAGCGTTGTTACCATCTTCAGACAAAAGTACTGAATGAGAAATTTTACCACAGCATGTTTTTAAATAGTTCCTGTTATCAAGTTTACAAATTTGATACAAAATTCAGTACTTTTGTCTGTTACCGAAACGTCACACACTATTTATTTATTTGGATTTGGTTTAATTACCTTGTGTTTATAGTACAAAAATGAAACTCTCTCTCAGGTGGATAAACTAAGAAAAAGACATCTTACAATAATTACTCAGTGATAATATATAAAAAAGATGGATAAAAACGTATGTTTTATAAATATTAAAAAAATGTTTCAAGGCGTGATTGATAAAATAAGGGAAGAAGTGCTCAACTCCACAGACAACGGCTGATTGCTCCCCCTCCCCTCTAAATTGCTTTTCCTCCTCACTCATGTACATATATAACCTTTTAGGGGAATCCCCTTGTAAGACAATAGTGGCTTAATAAAGGTTTTTTTGTTGTTGTTATTGTTAATTAAAAAAGACATTTAACATGTTTGAAAGTTCCTACCTAAATAAAATGAACAAAGTGTAAACATCAACTTTAGATTACCTATATTGAAAGATATAAACTTAAAAGGAGTTTTTTCTATAGAACATGGTTATTTTGCTAGATTTCGAACGACATTGTTCTTCAACGGGGGTAAAGAATATTTACGGGTCTTTACGCCCAATGAAAAACTATGTCGTTTGAAAGCTAGCAAAATAAACATGTAATATAGATTACACCTATCCCCCGATTTACACGGTAGATACGTTCCTGAGAAAAACGTGTAAAAGCGAAAACGTGTAAAACAAGTACCGTGTAAATCGGGGGATAGGTGTATAATACAATATAATGCGGCTTATGATTGTAGAACAAAATTTGACAATTATACCGCAAATGTTTCTTTTGAATAAAAAAATCAAAATTTATTTTAAGGAGAAATAACGATTATATATAATAACGGGGTAGCCTTGTGGACATGGCATCTGCCCAGTAAGCGGAACACTGTGAGTTCGATTCCCATCTCTGGATACTTTTATTTTTCCAGTCATCATTACTCTTCACAATTCATCCTTTCATACTTCATCCCCATATATAATCAACAGGGTAACCTAGTGGACATGGCATCTGCTCGGTAAGCGGAACACTGTGGGTTCGATTCCCATCCCTGGACACTTTTATTTTTCCGTTTATCATTACTCTTCACAATTCATCCTATCATACTTTATCCCTATGGTTAAAATAATCGATATTTCTCCTGAAAATAAATTTCGATTTTTCGTTCAAAAGAAACATTTGCGGTATAATTGTCAAATTTCGTTCTACAATGTTATATAGAAGAAGCTCTCCTTTTGAGTTTATAATCTTACAATATAGAACAAAATAGCTTGATAGGGAAAAGGTTAAGATAGGTTTGTAAAGTGAGAAACTTACTTTAGTTTGATCAGTTTTCCCTGTACATTCTTTCAACATCTGGCAGATCTTGGTATAGCCCATCTTTGTATCTGGGAATCGACGTGGTGGTTCAGGATGTTTGTCTAAAGGTTTTATACGGCCACCTCTAGGCATTGAAGTCCTTGACATCGACATACTGTCCAACTGAGTGTCATCGTGAATACGCATTACGTCACACGTTTTCCCAAACGCCAGTTTGTAAGCGAATGACTGCACTTCGTCTCTCGTGAAATCCAAACTGATCCTTTGTTCCAATTCTGCACGTTCCAAACTGAATCTACGACATGGTGGATGCATTGGCATCTTTGGAAGTTTCTCTGGACATGGTTCTTTATGAATGCTTGGAGGTTCTTCAGGCTGTGGGAACATAAGGGATGTCTGGACCATTGCATCTACTGTCCCGCAGATTTCTTCCTCTTCTTCGGCAGTTGTAGATTCCACGAAGGACTTGTAATGTGTCGAAGGTGGAGGTGTGTAGACGTCATTCTGCGTTTGTAGTTGTAGTGAGATTCTGTCGACTTCTTGGAGGGCTGGAACAAGAAATATTAAAGCGGCATCTACATGATAACTAGAAATAAACAACAACAAAATATTTATTAAGACTTTTTAGTCTTATACAGATTCTCCAAGCAGAAATATAGGATACATGCAGGAAAAACAGTAATATAGAACTTGATGATAACATGATATTTATATACAGAGAAAATTATATAAGGACAACCAAGCTAATAGATTAATATGGGCAAATTGGAGGCAAAGAAAGTTACTATACATGGATTTACCACGGATTCTCTGCAAATGAAGATAAAAAGTAAAAGCTGATTACAATCAATATTGAGAAAATGAAATTCATATACCAGAAAACCTAATTAAGACAATTGGGCTCATAAACAGATTCGAAAGGGTAAATCCGAGGGGGGAAAAAATACAAAATAAATGAATGAAGAAAAAAAACACTGGAATTTACATATGATACATGCACTAAGATTTTTCGTTCAAATAAAAATACTTCTAAGCTGGCCAATGAAGGTTATAAGAATTTAAAGCGCAGCTTTCTTACAGTATTTTCACCCACAGAAAGCGAAATATAAAAGAAATTAAGGCAAGGAAAGAAGAAATATTATACCGTGTTAGGTCTTGTGGAATTATTTGGTAGCAGCTCTGAGACTTAGCTATGTTGAACTTTTCCTAGTCATCATCCCTGCCCTTGACATTGCCGCGTAGGCTTCACTTGTAAGTATTTCGACCTGTGAGTCAATTGTGGAGTCTTCCACCAGTAATTTAGTTGAATCCCTCAAGCTGCTTTTGTAAGATGTAGCCTTGTCAGATGCCCAGGAATACTTGCCAACAGAACGAAACTTCGTAACATATTTTGCCTTTATATTGTTTAGACCATTAAATTTTGGGACAAGTGGTAGATGATCCAAATAAGGCATGCATTCAATAGTAAGATCAACAATCAGCTCAAGTAGTGCAGGCGAAAGATCTATAACTGAGGATCCTTGAGTTGAAGAATAAAATTATTTATCACTGATAGATCTGCCATCTATTACCCTGAGTGAATTCTCATCGAGAAAATAATAATTCTACAGAGTCCACCTATATTCCAGGAGATTATTCTATGAGGATTGTTCCTTAGTGATGTAACATTTTATTTTGACAATTAGAATGTTTATGCTGAACTACAAGCGCAGATGGACGACTTTTATTCGTTTTTTAGAAATAAGCACTTATGTGATAGTTCTTGTCTAGGTTGTCGCAAAAATTCATCCTGAGAAAAAAACTTGAACTGTGAAAAATTAGGTTGGACGGTGGTACAGTATGAATGCTATCCGAAGTTTGCTATAATACATCCCCGTAGAGCTGACAACGCGGCCATTTAAAACAGAGTAGCTTATGCCACGGACAATTAGCCTGTTATCTCTTAGTTTGGAAATTGTTCCCTTACTCATGAGTTCTTTTCGCTTGCTAATTAGCATATCCTTTGGTCTATGATAGCTATCAGACAACTATAGTTGGAGGGTAATCTTCATTTATGAATATTTTTTTGTCCCTGAGTCTGAAAGCGTTCCTAAAGACAGAATTCTTTGCTTGAAATCAGGCACCTCAATAAGCAGCGACGAGTTAGCTTTTTTTGTCAATCTTCAGCACTGTTCTATCCTAAGCTCTTCAGAAATTTGCATCGTGTTTGAAATCAGATCTTGGATCAAACCTCGAGATTGGTCATAGGTTTCGTTTTCTGCTCCTTCCAGTCCGTAAATAATCAAGTTCTTTTCCCTCTGCCTCATCTCTCCAGGCTCCAACCGTCTCTCGAGATCGGATATTCTATTTGTATTAAGCGAGACAGCTTTAGAAGTGGTTTCCAATGATGACTCGAAGTGTTGTAGGCGCTGATTTATTTTGTCCAATCCTTGTTCTACCGAAACAAGTCTAGTCTCCATTTTTTTAACCAAAGTCATCTATCTTAGTTGAAAGTTCTAAAATTAGATCATGCAAATCTTTATCTTTGCCTGCATCTAATGTTGTTTGCCTTGTCTGTTTGGGGCCAGGATTTGGTTCAATACCTGACATGAGCAGTAGCATTGAAATAATACATCGACGGGTTCCCTTTCCAGGAGGAGTAAAAGAGATAACCTTGAAGTTATTTTCATAACAAACAGAAGATTTAGCGCGAAAATCTACATATCTAGTGATCACAGCAGCTTCTCTAGCAAAAAGGAAGATATTAATTATAGAAATAAATAAAATCAGCTTCATAATCGTCGTAGAGAATATATAAACTATAGGCCAACGACAGGATACTCATAAGAAGGCGTAACCCAAGTAGAAGCACAAAAAAGCAAATAATAAGTTTAAAATATTTACATATCGGGAGACGAAGAATTTGACGACCGCTCAACTTGGCCATTTAGCGGAGAATTATAATAGAAATAAACTAACTTAACTATACCTAGTGCGGTCCAGAGCGATGGTGGTTTTAAATAAATAGATTGTTTGGAGAACATTGTTTGGAATAATGACTCAGTAGCTATCGATGCTTGTACATAACTCCGTTAGTGAGTGCAAGTAATCAGATGCGGAACTGTAAGGGTAGACCTGATTTGGCGTACTTACAGTACAAGCAGTCACTGCCCACCATGGCCTGGTACTACATGTGTAGAATTATAGTGTACTTACAGTGCAAGCAGTCACTACCCACCATGGCCTGGTACTACATGTGTAGAATTATAGTGTACTTACAGTGCAAGCAGTCACTACCCACCATGGCCTGGTAATACATGTGTAGAATTATAGTGTACTTACAGTGCAAGCTGTCACTACCCACCATGGCCTGGTACTACATGTGTAGAATTATAGTGTACTTACAGTACAAGCAGTCACTACCCACCATGGCCTGGTAATACATGTGTAGAATTATAGTGTACTTACAGTGCAAGCAGTCACTACCCACCATGGCCTGGTACTACATGTGTAGACATGTGGTGTACTTACACTACAAGCAGTCACTACCCACCATGGTCTGGTACTACATGTGTAGACATGTGGTGTACTTACAGTACAAGCAGTCACTACCCACCATGGTCTGGTACTACATGTGTAGACATGTGGTGTACTTACAGTACAAGCAGTCACTACCCACCATGACCTGGTACTACATGTCTAGACATGTGGCGTACTTACAGTACAAGTAGTCTCTATCCACCATGGCCTGGTACTACATGTGTAGACATGTGGTGTACTTACAGTACAATCAGTCACTACCCACCCGCTTCGAGATCAAAATCAAGGGTGAGGCCTGGCCCGCTTACATCACATACGGCATCAAATGCTCAAGATGCCACGGACAGGGACACAGGAGAGCCAGCTGCCCCCTGCTCTATGGGCAGTCCACCACCTCCAGACGAGCCTCACCGCCCTCTACCACCGGCCTTCCACCATCGACCGCGCCTGGGCTGCCTAGGCAGTCTTCGGCCGTGCCTACTGCGCCAGCGCCTCCCAGTCCATATAACAGGGCTTCCGGCGCCCCATCTGATTCCTGTGCTGCGTCTCTACCATCTGCAGCGCCATGGCCATCCACACCAGCGCCGTCGGCCTCACCCATGCAGGCGATGACTTCAGCTCCTCCACCAATGACCCCTTCACCTGAGGATCCCGTGGGCCCTCGCTCGGCCGCGTCGCGTCCTGAGCCGACGCCTCCTGCTCGGCCAGATCTCGTTGCCCCGCCTTGCCCCCTGCCTAATCAGGAGACCCTCGGGCCTGCATCCTCCACACCTGATGTTGAGATGACCCCCGCGGATAAGAGCACCGCATCCTCTGCGTCATCTAAAAAGAAAAGCACTAGGGACGACCTTGTGGTCTACCTGAAAAGAAACCCCGGCGTGTCCTTCGCTGAAGCGGACGCCCTTGGTCTTGGGCGGGAGGAGGTCCTGGACCTCCTCTCCTCGAGGACCAGGGCGCAAAGGCAAGGACCCCTCCTGTCACCTCCGCAAAGCGACTCTCTCGCCGGCCTAATCGGCTAAATCCTGGACCTGAAGCCCGGAATAACCTCTAATATATACAAGGTCCTCGGACAGGTTA